TTATTTCTATTTTTATTTTTATTTTTATTATTATTTAATCTATTATTTCATTATTTTTATTATTTATATTTTTTATTAATTCTATTTATTTATCAATAACGTGTATAATTATTTATTACCATCTGAATTCGTGTTACGTTTCGCGTATTTAATTATTATCATTAATCAATCCGTAGCACATTCATATTTATTTAACTTTATTTAGTAGAGATTAGTGACGATTCTTCAAACGGGCGAATTCGCGCAATCTGAGCGAAAACGCACAATCTGAGCGGATTCGCCCAAACCAAGCGGATTCGCGCAATTCGGGCTAATATGTAAAGAACATGTTTATAAAGAACTTGATTTTAACCTAATGTAAAGCAACTTTCTTACAAGTTAATTAATCGGTGACAATAGTAATAATAATAATGAAATAATAATAATAATGATAATGATAATGAAATAGCAATAATAATTAAATAATAAAAAAATAAGGATTTCACTGATCACTGAATAATTTTTCCATAATAACCATAATAACATAATTTATTATTGTTTTATTTTACATAAACACTTGCATCAATTATTGATTTTTTTTATGTCAAAATTGTTATTTTGCCATTTGTTTTTATTCGTTTATTAGTATCTATACTAGTTTCAAAAATAATTTTGAGCTTCTAAAGGCAATTATAACATGATGTTGACCCGGGTCAATTAAATCATGACCCGACCCGACCCGACCCGTTCGGGTCAACCCGACTCGTTTCGGAGCTCTAACTGCTACTGCCACTAATGTTGCTGCCACTACAAATAATAATGAAAAATTTTTTTTTGCATTTTTACTTGGTAACAATTATAATAATAATAAAAAGAAGATGAATTAGAAGAGTATCTTAGAAAACCTCCATTAAATACTCAAACAGATCCACTACTAGGGTTGTGTTGGTCTTTAAAAGACCGGTCCCTTTGAACCACTGTCCTAAATTTTAGGACCAGTCTTTATAAGACCAGCTGATAAGGAAATTTTGAACAATAAAAATTTTTATGTTAAAATTGATGAGTATCTTTTTGAGTTTTTTATTTTATTTGTTATTATTATGTTTTATTGAAGGCCAAACTTTTGTTAAAAAATTAATTATTACATTGTTCACTTTTTGAGGCTAATACTAAGGAACTTTAATAATAAAAAATCAATGATAAATAATTTAGTATGTATAATAAAACCAATAATTTATTTAATATAACTTAATGATATAACAGTAGTAGGTATTAATAATAATATTATTATTGGTAATTAAAACAGAAATAGTAATAGAAAGAATAGCAGAAATAGGAGCAGTAGCAATAATAACAACAAAACAAAATGAAGACTTAGTTGAGGATTGGCTTTCTATGATGTCCTCAGAGGAATTAAATCACAATTTCGAAGGGGAAGAAGAGTTTCTTAATGAAAATGAAACCATTTATGTTGAAGATTCAGTTTCTAATATATCTAGTAATTTAATATCATCACCACCATCATCATCCACAACAATATCCACAACAACATCATCACCACATATAAATAATATTCAAAAGAGTACAGTTTGGGAGTTTTTTCGTGAAATTCATTGTTATTTATTGCTGTTGTATGTGAAATTGAAATATTATGGAGTGGGGTGAAATTCTGATTGGCTAATTTGAATTTCACACATGTAAATTTGAATTTCACACATGTAAATTTGAATTTCACATATGTGAATTGCGAATTCACATAATTTCATTTTCAAGTACAACAGAGCTGCAGATTTTAAAGAGTCACCATAATAAACTTTTTTTGATTCCATATCAAGTTTTGCAACTGTCCAATGGTTGTTATTAATGTGTAAAATAATATAAATTTGTTTAGTTTCATCACTTTGAAAACAAAAATTATTTAACAGCCTAGATGCTAATCTAAAGTTATTGTCTATTATAGAACTATAAAAGTGTACTGGAAGCAAAATAATATCATTGTAATTGATTGTTTGGGTTTTATACGCCATAAATATTTTTAGTACTGAATCAATTACAGAATCATTTATATAATTCCACCCTGCCAAAGTGCATAAATCTACAATTTTTATGCTTAAGTTGATTCTAAGTTCCTGGTATTATTTTTTTGTTTTAATTATTCTTTCATTTAATGCTTTCTTGATGGATTGGTCAATTTTGCTGGAAATAATTCATTTAATTAAAATTTTAAGATCTTGTTGATATTTTATTGCTGAATATATTTTATTCATTTTATTTAGATCATGAAAGCTAGCTATTCCAAATCCAAGAACTCTGATGTATGTATCATTAGTTACATTGTCATCTTTTCTAAAACCTGGCATTTTTTTAAATTCTTTTATTGAATAATTTATGTATTGAGGAGGAGGGAGACAGAAATCCAGTTTAATAATTTCTTTAATTTGCAATTCATTTTCGTTTATTAAAAACATAAATTGATCAACAATTTTAGGAAATATTGTGCTTTTGTAATTGATGGAAGTTTGATATTAATTAAATCTTCTCCAGTAATTATATTTAAATAGTCATGGCATTTTCATAATAATTTTCAAATCTAGTTAAAAAATAGAATGTTTGTTATTAAATTATAATAATCAAAAGATTAGATTTAAACAACTTACTGGCCATCAGTAAAAATCATTTCATTATCAGAGATTTCAATTGGAAGTGAAGCAGAACCAATTTTTTTGTTGGAATTCATTTTAAAAATAAATAAACAAAATTGATTATTTTTTTTCATTTTAAAAGAGAGAAAAGGAAATGATTTTAATAAAAAAAAATTTTTAATTAATTTCTTGTTTTAAAGTGATCAAAAGGGAAACAGACAATGATTTTAATAAAGAAAAAAACTAATTGAGTATTCTCTTGTTTTAAAGGGATCAAAAAAGACAGATTATTTTTTTGTTTTAAAAAAGAGAAAAGGAAAATAGTAAAAAATTTAATTGAGTGTTTTCTTGTTTTAAAGCGATCAAAATAAAGAAAAAAATTAATTGAGTATTCTATTGTTTTAAAGAGATCAAAAAAGACAAAGATTATTTTTTGTTAAAAGAGAGAAAAGGAAAACAATTTTAAATTATGAAAAATTTAATTGAGTATTCCTTGTTTTAAAGAGATCAAAAAAGACAAAGATTATTTTTTTGTTTTAAAAAAGAGAAAAAGAAAATGATTTTAAATAAATAAAATTTAATAGAGTATTTTCTTGTTTTAAAGTAATCAAAAGAGAAAAGGACAACAATTTTAATAAAGAAAAAATTGAGTATTCTCTTGTTTTAAAGAGATAAAAAGGAAAAAATTAATTGAGTATTATTTTATTTTAAAGATCAAAGGAAAAGAAAACTGATTTTAAAAAAAAATTGATATTTTTTTTTAATTGAGAAAAGAAACTAATTGAATATTTTTTTTAATTGAGAAAAAAAACTAGTTGAATATTTTTTTTTGTTTTAGTTTTAGAGAGAAAACAATTTAATAAAAAGCAAAAGAAAGAAATTTTGAAACCATTTATATATGTTTTCAGCATGTATAATTCATTATTTGACTGTAATCTATTTTTTTTTAACAGGTTAAATTCAATAATTTCTATTATTACAGCTTTACAATTTCCTTGATTATTACAACTATTAAATTGCAATCTGTTTCTTTAACAAGATAAATAAATTGTTTCTGTTAATCAATCACAACCACTTTACTTTTTATGGGCAAAATTATTATAACTATTTAATTGCCTTTAACAGGATAAATTAATTGTTTCTGTTATTCAATCTATTCAATCACAACCACTTTTCTTTTTACAGGTGAAATTCAATCTTTTTTTTCAGTTTTACAATTTCCACGATTATTACAACTATTCAATTGCAATCTGTTTTCTTTAACAGGATTAATTAATTGTTTCAATTATTCAATCACAACCACTTTACTTTTTACAGGCAAATTATTATAACTATTTAATTGCAATTTGTTTTCTTTAACAAGATAAATTAATCATTTCTGTTATTCAATCATAACCACTTTTCTTTTTACAGGTGAAATCCAATCTTTTTTTACAGCTATACAATTTCCACAATTATTACAACTATTCAATTGCAATCTGTTTTCTTTAACAGGACAAATTAATTGTTTCAGTTATTCAATCGCAACCATTTTACTTTTTACAGGCAAAATTATTATAACTATTCAATTGCAATTTGTTTTCTTTAACGGGATAAATTAATTGTTTCTGTTATTCAATCACAACAATTTTCCTTTTTAAAGGTGAAATTCAATCTTTTTTTACAGCTATACAATTTCCTCAATCATTACAACTATTCAATTGCAATCTGTTTTCTTTAACAGATAAATTCAACAATCTCTGTTAATCAATTGCAACCACTTTCCTTTTTACAGATGAAATTCAATCTTTCTATATTATTATTATCTAGCTGCAACCACTTTTTCCTTTAACAGGTAGAGAATTTTCTATTAATGGAAATCAAAACAAATTAAAAACAACCCCAATATTAAATTAATTAATATTAATTGATGATTCCATTAATAGTCTAAACCATGCATAAATCTTGCATAACATTTTGATATAAATAGATGTTAAAAAAACTAAAATATTAAACAAAATCTTGTCTTAAAAAAAAATAAATTTTAAAATAAATTTTAAACAATGAATTTGAATTTCAAAAAAAATTATTCAGAAGTTATATAGTGCAGGACACCTAGTCCCACAACTTTTTATTGGTCTTGTATATCCTTTAGTATACCAGAAATGGAAATGTAA